AACTACTGACGTGGAAAGCAAAAAGGCAGCATCAGCATCTGGTGAATCTTAAAGCCACTCCCTGCCATTAGACCAATCTTTCTGGCATTAACTATCTGGGTAGTAGGTGCCCCAAAATTGCCATTCTGATCATGCTCGAGTGGAAGGAGCCACTGCCAGAGTAACTTCTCTGCAACTGGTGGAGCTAGCTTGATACCAGTGGTATCATTGCTGCTGGGGCTACTGGCCTTGGCTGGGGTCTCTACTGTGCTTTGTTTTTTTCTTACAAAACCGCGTTCTGATATCCATCCTTCTTCCTGAATTGCATTTTATGGCTAAGCAAACAAGCCAGGAAACACACAGGCAATTCTTTAACTTTGTATGCAGCGCATAAACCCCCTAAACACACAACAAACAGTGCTATCCATTGTTCAGAAACAACAGCTAAGCGATATGTATCTCGTATCTGTATCTCGGCCCATAATTTTGTTGATTTTGCTATTTTGATACAGATAAATGAAGCTGAAGCAGAGGGGACAAAAAATACAATTGAGGGCATTAAGTGCCCTAAGACCGCACGTGGCGCCGGGCCCAAGCTCCATGCTGATTCATTCATTCAAATTCATAGTGCTTCATCTGTCACATAAACACAGATGCCACACTTTCATTTACTAATGGCCACTGTGCAGTGGAGCAGCTGTAGGTTTGGTGCAGATCAATTCTAATTTCTAGTAATAAGCTATTCTCTCTCTCTCTAGCAAGTCAGATTTACTAGTTTATTTTTACCCAAATTCTACTTGCATAACTGTGTGTGTTAAAGCTTTGTTCCAGACCTGCTGCTGTTTGTGTTTGATATCAACTCTCAGCAAGAAAGCGAGTGTATTTCCCAAAATCTCAAACTATTCTTTTATTAAGACCAAAAATCATCAATATGTACATATTTATGTAAGATCTTAATTTGATTAGTTGCCTCCTCCCCTTTTCTCATGTTGAAAAGATATTTTGTATCTGTATGTAAAGTGCAGTACAACAGGAAGCCCTCCAACCACCTCACTCAGCCAAGCATGATGGATAGTCAGAAATGTGCAGATGATCAGTGTGATGGAGACATGATGGAGTATTATAGATAGCAGAATAGTGGAACTAAATTTCATTTCATTTCATGTCCACCTCAGTTTATTAGCGGCAGTCCTCAGGAGGGGAGGTCTGATATTTCTATGTGACTGGGCTGGGTCCTGAGTGCAGTGAACAACAGATGCTTTGTAACACTTTCACAGTGCTGCACATTGGTTTATTAGTTTTCAGAAGAATGTGAAACCTCGAAACATACATCAGGTTTTTTTGGATGAAAAACATGGTTTACACTGTCCTCTAATAGTCATAGTTGAAGAATAACTTTAATCAGAAAATCTTCTGCTGTACAGGATTTTAGAAATGTGGCTGTAACTTTGCCGGTAATACACTAGGAGGCATCATAGTTGCATTATGAGAGGACAATAAACACTACGCTTATTTGTGTTTTTTGTCAAAATATTATGTTAAAATGATCTTAATGCAGTCTTTGAGTGTGTTTACAACTTGAGTGCAGTAATAGGGGTTATTTGTTACACTACATGCTCAGCAGCACCAGAATGGGTGTTAATCCATATCCACATTGGATTTCTTTAAACCTTCACCAGGCATGGTTTCAGCTCTGGTTCTCAAAGCTGTACAGTGCAATTTATCTGTTGGCATGTCAGAGCAAGATCTATTTTATCACATTATTTCACTACTGACCACATTGCCATGACATTTGTTGTGGACAGGATTCTTACTGTGCATTCAGACCAAACGTGAATTTAATCCTCGCAACGCTTTCCTCAAGGGGGTTTTATCGCTGGACAACTACCAAAAGTTCACACATAATGTGATAACACGAATGAACACAGCTTGTGATCACTACAGCTGTATGAACCCAAAGTAAACATTTTGTTGTAATTAAATAGCAATAAACGGGTCAAACTGATGCCGAAATAACTACAATTTGATACAGATTTGTTAAACATATGAATTCATGCTTTGTCAGGTCTGTCAGCAAGACAGCAGGACAACAACTTCTAAAATGTTTGTTTTCTGAATGGACTTCGGATCGATCAGGGCCGTGCTACGCTTACTTGTTCAAGGTAAAGCACAACGATAGCTGGAATAAAGTTACAAAAACACAAATTTTGAAGTCACCAGATAGTTCAACTTCCTCCCTTTCTTTTCTACAAGTAATGTCCTTTGTCCAGTTTTTATATCAATATGAAGTAGTAGTCCAGCAGACCTCTGGGTGCCAACCTGCGCTAACAACAACAGTGGAACCAGAAACGGATGAAAGCTAGCTGCTGAGAAGCTCGAGTGAAGATAACTCAATGCTGTAATCCCAAAAACTAAAGTAAACAGATAATTTAATTAAAAGCAGTTAACTCTGGGCTCGTAAACGTAGTTGTCAGAGCATAATCCAGACCGACTATGGGTGTTTATACGTCCAGAAGCTGCAGCGCTGCTCCTGACTCTGTCCTCGGCTTTTCCCCGTAGTTTAGCAGTTCTCCGTTGGCCTGGTCCTCTACAAACAGCGGTCTGAAGCCGTCGGTGACATCCGGACAATCTCAACACTTATAGGCTATCACGTGTCATGCGACTTTCTCGCTAAAGTTGAACATTTTCAACTCACATGAAGGCCTTCGCGTCTCCGGCAGGAAATTGTGGCTCTCTGCGTATTTTCATTAACTTTGTGTGTAAACGCACCGCCCCCAACACTCACTTCGCTTTTGGTCTGAAAGCACCATTAGTGTTTTATGTGACCACATTCCCTTAGCACCACCATCAGGTCAGAAATGTGCACTTGATACTCTGGTCAAAGGGTACATCTTAATTCATTTAATTTCATCCACATTTCCCTCACTTGATTGAGAAATGCAAAGAAAAGACGCAAGGAAAGAGGAATTGCAGAAACATGTTTTCTGTGAAATGAGCAGCCTAGTAATACACCTGCTGATCCAGTGTCAGAAGTAAACTCAACAGGAGCAACAGGAGTGGGGATGGATGGATGGGCAGGCAGGCAGGTACAGGACTTTCACACAGGGGACTGGGGCTTGGGTCCCATTTGAAACCAATAGTCGTTGTTGACTGTTTTAAGGAAGTACTCATTTTAACCCAAACTGTGATCTTAAACCTAACCAAGTCGTTTTAGTGCCTTAATCTAACCAAACTGCACAGTCACCCGAAATGTTTCACAGCAAGCTTTATTTACAGTCTAACTGGAAGTTGTATTTTGAGTACTGGTAACTTGCCTAGACGAAACAAAACACACCATGATGGAATGGCACGTGTCGTACATGCTTTTGCGTGATGCTAGTCTTCCTTCTCTCTCAAGCATTATCTGAAGTCACTGTCAGAACAGCACAGCTAAATCGCCTTTTAGTCTGTTTGAAGGATAGGAAATATTTTAAGTCTGTCATATGTACACTGAAAGAGATATTAGCTGCAGCAGGCCCAATTATTCCTTATCTCCACACTGCAATGAAGAGTATCATTCCAGATGCAGTTCCAGCGGAGCTCCGCAGTCTTCATTTGGTGCAAAAAGGCTTTGCAAAGTTCTGCCCAAACTAGCATGAATTAGACAAATTAAGTGGGTATCAAAAATGTTTGAGTTAATTTTGTACTACATATACACTGACTTTTGAAGATACTCATTTGATTCGTAGAGTACAGACATTTATAGTACTGAAATTTGATTTTCATTTGAATTTGTCCTGAGTGACTGAATAGGAACGACAGTGATAGACAATAAATCTAATGGTGAGACTTGATGACAAATATGACAATTGCCATTTATCAGAGAGAGAATTAATCCACCTGTGACCTGCTGACCTTTCCTTTAGCACCCCCATTTAGCCAAATTTTAATTTTTAAAATATAGTGGTTGGGCTGTAACAAAGGTAATTTTTTTACATTCAGAGCTTCTGCTGAGGTTTTCAAATATATATCATATATTATGTCATTACCCCCCCATCACCTCCATCGTGCAGCTCAGCCCTGCCCTCGTTCAAACAAACACACACACAACAGAGAGCAGAGGAGAGAGACGGAGACAGCGATGTAACCTGGGCACTATGTTTTTGGGCCCTTTGTGCTGCTGAATGAATAGACATGAACAAAAAGTTGCATCGAATTATAACTACTCGGTACAGCCATATAAAATGGTCCGATTGGCATGTAATTTAATGAACACAACCTTTTAACACTCCATGAGCTTTACCCTAACACCACTCACAGGATAATGTGTCAACTTTGTATGCAAGATATCTCATATTCTACAAAATACTGCAGAGAAAAATGGACTGCAGATTTTTTTCGTACATAATTTTTGCAATTACAGAACAAAATAATCAAGCAGCTATATCTCAGTGCCATTTGACACCACCAGCTTGAATTGCTCTGAACCCCCTTCCCTTTATTTTAACCACATATGCTTTATCTGATTGCATGACCACTTTTGTCCAATTAATTCGACACATTTTGTATTTCTAGGTGACCCAATGGGAGCCAGAGTGGTGTTTGGAAGTCCTGGGATAATTACATTCAACGTGTTATTCTTTTTCACTTTATACATTATTTAAAAGGAAGACAGTGAGGGTCAGACGGTGAAGGTGAATGGCTAAGGAAGGAAATATCAAAGACAAGAAAACAAGGATAGTGCTTAGTTCCCCTTCTCAGTGATCAAAGACTTATAGCAAGCAAATTCACAGCAGTTGCTTCCTCTGTAGTAAGAACTCAATCAAATCTGTGAGACCATAAAGCTTCACAATAGTCAATGCCATATGCTACTTTTAATTGGACTGGCTTTAAAAGAGAGCTTGTGCTCTAAATGAAGAAGAAAAAACATGACCACATTTCAGAGTCGTGCCCCTCATTACTTAGCTTTACTCAAATGAACGTAACCTTTGATTAACAAATACTTGGGGAAGAAAAAGGCCAGCTGTTAGCAGATATGAACGACAACGTGAGCTCCAGAATCGACACCCCAACCAACATCTCTCTGAGTCCTAGTGTCGCCATCTCGGAGTCATTGGAGTTCAAGACAGTGTCCGTGTTTCTGGTCCTGCTGGTGTGCAGCATTGGCATCGTGGGCAACATTATGGTGGTCCTCGTGGTATTCACCACTCGCCACATGAAGACACCAACCAACTGTTACCTAGTCAGCTTGGCTATAGCCGACCTGACGGTGCTGGTGGCAGCGGGGCTGCCCAACGTGTTGGACAGTCTCATAGGCACATGGGTTTTTGGCCATGCTGGCTGCCTGGGGATCACCTACCTTCAGTACCTAGGCATCAACGTTTCCTCTTGCTCCATCACCGCCTTCACAGTGGAGAGGTGAGGACGAACAAAGAACAGACTAACTGTTCTCAGTACCCTAACTTTAACAAAATAGTAATTTTAACCTAAACCTTAATGTTTCCCTAACCTCAAGCATGTAGTTTCTGTTCCCAAATCTAACCAAACCATAGGGTTGTCACATTTGGGAAAACATTTTATCCTTCTGGGTAGAAAGTACAAATATATGAGATCAAAAATTAACAGTAAATGCAACCAAAAAAATCAACAACCAAAACACTGTGTCCCAGTTACTCTGGATAATCCTTAGAATCCACTGTTTTAATTGGAACTACTTTCGACCGAAGAATCAAAATCCAATTCCATTCACCTCCACTGTTATAAGGCGGAAGCAGAAATCAAGACCAATATCTCAGTTGCACCTGCCAATCTCCAAATCCCCAATCGCTTTACTTGTATACAGCATACGCTACACTATACTTGTAAACATTTCCCAAAGCATACTGTAGTGTGTTTTACCACCTTAAGTCATATAATTAAACTTGGAGATACTTTGAAAAGCTTAGGCAATACATCACACACAACATGAGTGCTGTCTGTATTAGTGTAAATGTAAATGCTCCGTATTTGTATAGTCTTTTTGACCACTCAAAGTGCTTTTACAGTGTCACAGTTATATTATTGTATTATATATTATTATATTATATAAGGTAATGCAGCTATAACTGACAATTGATTTGAAAAGTCTGTCATAGGTCTATTCTAACAAAACTACCTCTAAGCAAGTTTAAAGACTGTATGGAAATAAATGGAAAACAATGGCTTCATGAAAGGTTTACAAGTCAGTCCAAAAAGTGTAAACAGTGTAATTTAACTTGGTTGACAGTAATAGAAAGTGTAAGTGCAACAACACTTGTATGGTCTTTTATATTCTTGCACACTATTAATTTGATGTTTTATAAAAATCTCACGTGCATTTTCTGTTCATGATTTAAGATGGAAGGATATAAGTTTGTCCTCTACAGCTACTTTCAGACATGCACCCCTTTATGTTAATCTGATTGCAATTTAACATGTTGCGCTTATACATGAAAGCCACGACAGCAATCCAGCACGGTCGGATTTAGTAACATTTCTGTATTCACTTTACAAAAGTCTAAACTGAATGCAATCAGATTAACGGAGCAGCAGCACAAGGTAAAACAAAACATAATATAACCATATTAATAATCTGACCAACAGTCTTTCCCTATATTTTCAGCTTTCATGCCAAATGCATGGATGAATATATGAATATCTAACAAAATGCTTTACATACAGCATGCATAAAATGAGTCCCAAATTGACGTTAAGCTAGAGAAAAGGTGCCATTATCCAGTGTCACAGTGCAGGGGAATACATGAATAGCTCAGTGGTATCTATTTACCAACACATTGTTGTCAGTTAAAATATACAGCCATTGTGAGTTACTTGTGTTTGAACCCTCCATTTCCTCTTCGTATGCAGGTACATAGCCATCTGCCATCCAATGAAGGCTCAGACAGTGTGTACAGTGTCCCGGGCCAAGCGGATCATTGCAGGGGTTTGGATCTTCACCTGTATCTACTGCATGCTGTGGTTTTTCCTGGTGGACATTCAGGTTAGAGAAATATTTTGTGCATTACGTTTTGTGTGTCACTGATTCAACTGGATGGGGGCTACAGCAGAGTGACCTTCAATTATTGATTGAAATATAAGGCATAGGATAAATATTTGTGTACCATGGCCACAATAAAGTAAAATACATAGAATGAAAGTGAAGAATCCAAATAAGTGTTTTTGTACATATGAATATAAATATATTTACGAAAATAAAAACAGTACCCTTCACAGGACTGCATAGTGTTTCAGTAGTAGTAGCAGAGTCATGAACAGAGGAGTAAACTGCAGGGGAATGTGAAAAGCTTTTTAAGAGCTCTTTGCAATATCTCAGAGTAGCATTATTATGTTGAGATGGGAAAGATTATTATGTGTATCTCAGCCCAGAGCCAATCTGTGAGACACTAGCCTGTTTTATTACAGCACCTCTACGATAACTGTGTAACATTCAGGTTAGCCAGGACGGACATGTGCAGTGTGGCTACAAAGTGAAACGGGAGCTCTATCTGCCCATCTACCTCATTGACTTTGCCATTTTCTACGTCATCCCGCTGCTCCTCGCCATCGTGCTGTATGGCCTGATAGCACGGATCCTCTACCTCAGGTACTGTAAAGATCTTTCAATCCAGATCGATAAATATGGTTTCATTTTTTAAAATTACTTTTAATAGGTGTCAGTCCACCAATTTTACACATGAAGATCAGTTTATTCATCATTACATTGTGCTTTAAGGTTATCTGCACCTTAGATACAGGTTAATGACATTGTTTTGGGTTTTGGTAATTATTTTGTTAAACTAATTCGTAATTTTATATTAATAATGTGTCCAGTGATAAAGTGTAATGTGAAAGGGACAGAGAACTATAATCAACTCTGCAGTTCCCCTCAGCTTCAGCATTTATTTTGGATCTTTCATCTTATTATTTTGGTTTATTCTCACTGCTCTCGTCAGCTTTGTTTCCATTATTGTCAGTGGAAATCTCTCATAAACACACCATACACTAACTGCTCAGCACCTAACAGCAGATTTAGTAAGTAGCTGGTGAACATAGAGGAGCATTTAGCAGCTAGATAGCCTGTTCATTTTCTCAGGAGTTCGTGGAGACCAAAACAGAGCTAAAAGAGTGAATATTAGATTCATATTCATCAGGGGGACACAGACACAACTCAATGCTAATGTTGTTGCTGGATGTGTAAATAGGCAACTGTTTGTTAACACATTCTCCATTGCAACATTGTGATAATAGTTCAAGGCTGTGTTTGCAGTTTGTTTCTTCTGCGCCAAGAGTCCAAACAATGTATTACTTCTTATCATCACAAATGCACTTGCGTGAATGGACTCTCCTTATTAGTATATGCGTCCACACATCCAATACAGACTATTTTATTAAAATCAATATTAAGATTGTTGATGGGCAACAACTCTCTGAATTTTGACACAAAACCAGGCAGGAAAATACACTTATGGCTTACGTCACATGTTGGGGCCAAAATCAAAAGACTTTATTTAAAATTGGTTCAGGCAGAAATCCAAGTAATGGATTTTGTGCAGTATGATTGATTTTCTGTTGTAGTGGTGGTGCTGCAATACGTTGTTTAGGAAGATCCTCCATCCTGACAGGATTCAATTCTGGTGAAAAAACAATGAATATTTGTATTTTAGGGGACAAAGCTCCTGATAAAGAAAGGATGAAATATATTTCAAATAGATGTTCAAATATATTCAGTACTGACATAAAATATGAATTTAATTAAATATGAATCCAAAGGTTTTTTATTGCCATTCTAAAACTCATATCAACTGAGCCTTTCTGTGGGATTTTGAGATCTATAAAGAAACCCTACAGCACGTGTTAAATCCAACCACATCCTAACGAGTTAATTTAACCAAGAAACCAAACCAACCAACCACTCAATGTTCTAATATGCAGCCTGTGTCCCCTCAGCCCCCTGCCCAACCATCCAGACACCAGCGCCACTACACTGCGTTGGAGCTGCCGGGAAGTGTCTGAAGCAGGAAAGGGGGGTCGCCAGGGCCGGCCAAAGAGCACGCTCTCCTCCAGGAAACAGGTGTGTGCCTAATCTCACATTTACCCCCTTTCCCATGAACCACTTCTGCGCTCTCCTTCCTTGTTGTTACATCTTGTCTTATCTATCAAGTAATTGCTTTGCGATAGCTTTAGTCACATTTGACCCGAGTCTCGTCTTTGGCTGTGTGTGTGATCTACTGGGAATATAAAGGCCATGATTCCCTTTTAAGAGCGTGGTGATGATGTGCCAGCTATCCGTTGCCTCAGAAAAGTGGCCTCTTGTCGGCTCTCTGTCCTGGCTGTTGCGTGGCCCTGAGGGCAATCGTGGCAGTAATGGCTATTTTTCCTCAGGGTGAGCAGTCAAAGAGCCTTTTACTGAGAAAACCTTGTCTCTCCCAGATTGAATGGTATTGCTCTGTAGTGCTGCTTTGTCTCTGTGCTCTTGAATGTAGAATCCATTCTCTTAGGCTTTTGGGTCATAAGCGACTAAGTTATTTTTACTCCAGAAGGGACTAGTTTTGTCTCCCCATTTTGTTCTTTCAAAAGTAGTATGGAATTTGAAAAGCCAAAGTACAGGAATTTTTGTTCACAACATAAGCAATAAAAGTTTCTGTCTCTGAATATCAAAGGTTTTGTCATTTTTGCATAAATATATTCACATATTCATACATTTGAACAACAAGAAATGAGATTTCTTTCAACTTCACCCAGATAGGATTACTGTAAAGCCTTGTACCTCAGCATGCTTCACATGAAGAGCTTGTCAGATTGTCTAAATGCAGCTGAAACCCTCTGAGTGTTTAATCAGCAGGGCTGTGCCCAACACAGAATTCCTGGAGAGAGATCAGACAGACTCTCAGATGCAGCCACAAGAATGACTCAATGTTATTTAATAAAAGTCAACTATGCATTTGCGTTTTTCCTGGATCACTCTGACGTTGACTTTCCACTCAAATCTTAAAATGTTAAAAAAGAGAATGTATTATAATTACAATGATTCTAGCGATCTATTAACTCCCGTTGCTCTTTCATACGTTTCTATCTGCAGGATGTCTCTCTTTATTCTATGACTCACTCTGTATGGAGTGTTTTGTCAGAGTGATTGTTATTTGGGATGCTGTAACTGTCGCTCCCCATCAAGCATCTGGGCGCATGGAGAGCTGTTTACTCTGCTCTCTGCTGGACTGTTACAGTGTATGGTCTCTACTTGTTACAGTTTCATTTACTTGTGGTGAATAGCAGGTATTGTACTATGCCAGGTATTCTGTGCCATCTATGTGCACATGATGTACTGTGATGCAGTGGTGGAAAGTAACAAAGTACAAATATACTGTTACTGTTCCTAAGTATTTTTTTTAGTTATTTGTACTTTACTTGAGTATTTTTAGTTGTTGCAACTATTTACTTTCACTTCGTTACGTTTCTGAAAAGCATGCAGCGCACCTGAGTGGAGCAGCATTGAAAAACCAATGTAAAACTGATAAAGCCGACTCGGCGAGAATCAACTTCGCCCAGCTGATGCGACACCGGCATATGCAGTGATGGTAATCAAGTCACTCCCGCAAAGCTGGAAAGCCCTGCCTCACTCTCATGTGAAAGATGAAAGCAAGTGTTTATGTATGAGAAGCCGCCTAGGCCAAAATTGAATACTTTGTTTACACATGTGTAAATACACACTTGCTATACATACATACTGTCATGCACATACATACTGTCATTTGTAAGTATGTTTGTATGCACAAGGTGAGTATTTATGTATGCGCAAGGTTAGTTTGTATATTTACGTGAGGTTAAGTATATATATACAGTGGTGTGTTTGTCACATTGAAATGTTTCAGATCATCAAACAAATTGAAATATTAGACAAGGAACACAAGTAAACAAAAATATTAAGGGAGGAAAATCCAAACCTACATGGCCCCCATGTAGGATTACTGCCACATGTGTTCTCAATCTAGAAATCACTTAAATAGGACCTGCCTGACAAGCCTGACAAGTGAAGTAGACCAAAATATCCTCAAAAGCTGGACATCATGCTGCGATCCAAAGAAATTCAGGAACAAATGAGAAACAGTGAGTGCAAGTGAGTATGTACATATGTATGTGCATGTATGTACGTATGTATCTGCAGTGCGTCTCTCTTTGTCTGTCCTGCTTACCCAGCTGTTTGTGTCTTGGTTGCTTGTCAGACTGTGACTGAACAATGTTAAAGTGAAATAATCGAACCGTGTTGCGTGTGAAATTCCAGCAAGAAACATCTGTGGGACCAGTCCAGACACAGATGTGAGGGCACTCCTCATAGGCGCACATCATTCTAAAACAAGACAGTGATTATCTGCCTCTCAGTCATGGTTCAATTACAACTCTGGACTTATACAAGATGGGAAGCAGGGAATTCATTTTATACCTAGTATTTTATATTTGAAAATGTATTGAAAGAGTCCGTTTGAATGAGCCTGACATAGCTGAAAACATTAATATATAGAAAATATCTATAATTGAATTAACATTTTTCATGTGGTATCTTTACTTTTACTACTTTGTACTTCCACCACTACTGTGACATGTTTTTGCTTTGCCTGGCTACAAACACATTTACCATGATCACTGGAAATTCTCTGTGTCGAACCCCTTATAAATGCGCTTCAGATACCACCACCTGAAGACGCATTGATATCACTGTGTGTGGGTATTAGTGCTGCTATTGGACTTTTTTTGAAATTAGGCTCACTAGCACAGAAAGGGGAAAACTTTGCACCAGATGTGTGCATATTACCAGCTCTTACTTTAAAACACTGTGGGCTGACATAACTTACAGGGGACAGCTGCTGTTGAGGGGTTGCAGGGGATGTTGTTGCTGCTGCTGCTGATACTACTGGAGGTGAACTGTGACTAGAGATATTAAAACAAACATAGCATATATATTAGCTGATTAAACAATTATGTGACCATGACAAGATATAAAGATTGTTGAGTGTTTGAAACTGGCTGAGTGACTTACCTGCTGTAGTGCTGCAGCTGCTGCCAAGGCTGACTGCAATGATAAAATAAGAGGGAAACGCTCACAGAGACTGCTGCACACCAAGAGCTGCAGGTAGAGGAAATAAGATGCCAGATTCAAAAAAGTGTGGGTTTAACCTGAGAAGGAAACATTAACAGGGGAAAGGATGAGGGTGGCCATGGCAGGGGTAAGAATGAGACAAACAAATTTATGGACAGAGTTGTGTGTGTCTGTGTTGTTTGCTTGTGTGTCCACAGTATGCAATATTGTGATAATGATTTTATATATTGCATTGTGAATCTGTGATATATTTGGATTTTTATTGACTATATGTCTAATCATAAATATAAATAAATATAAATAAATAAACTAGCATTAGCCTTAGCCTTAACATTTCATACCTTTTTCTGAAATCTAATAGAGTCCTTTCATCTTCACTCTTTACTTTGATGTCATGAATATGCTTCATTGACACTGACATTTTTTTATTAAGTTACCGTAATAATCGTAGTTCAAGTGAAAAGTTTTTAGTTAAATTACATAAAAAAGACCACACCTCTCAACGCTCGTGAAACTTTTCTCCCTCAAACAGCAAGAACGAAGTGAACAGACCACCTTTGTTCATCTGCGCGTAGAGGCGACACACAGCAATATGCAACAACTGTGCTGCTCTCTTTGCGTCTTTCTTGTAAAATTTATCCAAAAACCCACAACAAGCACATTGCGGCAAACCCCTCTTATCGGTGGAAGCGAAGGTGTCCTGTAGGCAGAGCTGCTGAATCACTAACGGTGTCTGAGCGGGAGGGCTCGTCACGGATGAGGTCATCAGGTGAAAGGTCATCATGTGGGTCATTTTATTTACTGCAAAATTATTATTCATTCATTTTACTAATAGTTTGATTGGGCAGGCCTTCACAAAAGGGCCTTTACAAATTGAAAAATAAATAAATAAAAGGACATTTTGCACTGAAAATAGGGTACTTTGGGCATCAAAGGGCAAAAGGGCAGGTGCTCAAGCACCCAGCGTGTCTGAAGTTAGAGGTGCATTTTGTGGCTGCTTTGAGAATTATATTATATTATATATATATATATATATCTGACATCTAATGGGATTCATTTCCTATCTTTATTCAAGAGCGTGGTCTTTCAATTTGAGAGCATAATTTATTGATTTTACGTTCAGATTTTGTATCGCTTTCCCTTAATACCCTGCCCTTACACTCAAATGGCCCTACTTGAGCTTAGATTTGCTCTGCTTCTTGCTTGTTGCTTGCACAGATCTCCTGCGCTCCAGCTTTAGCCGTTCTTCTGGCGCTCATGCTGTTTGTGTGCGCTCATGAAACTCTGTTCTCAAACTTTTGCTCTGCTCTCGGATTGTTTTTTAAAATAACGCTGTCAAAATCTTCCTGCCAATAGAATGTCAGGTGGAATGCCAACAAAATGATCCTCCACTCTGTTAGTGTTTTTGCTGTTATGAAGCTTGCAGGTGAAGAGAGTTGTCAGGCAGCCTTTTTTGCAGATTCAGACTGTGCCAAAGTAATATGCTATAGAGTGTTTATCTCTGCGTATATGCGACCACACTCTGTATGTTGTAGAGAATTGAATTAAAGCCTATGATTAAAGTACTTAAGCCCCGCTACACCTTCACATGTTTTGTCAGTCCATTGAGTCTCCCACAGAGGCCTGTACTACAAAGGGGATTTCACCTACTCAGATTGAACTCTGTTATCAAGGGTTGACAAATTCTGACTGCTTACTACGACGATAAATAAGATGTTAGTTGATTCATTGTCGACTGGACTTTGTGCAAGTTTGCATAAAAGGGTTGTGTCTGGCAACTCAGGCAGTTTTTTCATAATGGCTCATGCTTCATATTTTCCACAGAAGAATGCACAATGTTAATGTATGAGGAGTGTAAAGAAACATTAGTGGCCAAATCAAACAATTGAATTGGCCAACAAAGCCAGGAGGGCTTGTTGGCAGCGCTTGGAGTACATTTGTAAGTAACTTTACAGTGTTTTTGTTTTAATTCTCTATTTTGTCTTATGGACTCTTCTTTTCTTTGCAATATGACTGAGATGTAAAGGTACAACAGCACATTAGGGTCAATGTAGGTTTAAAAAATACAGAGCCAGGGAAGAGAGGTAATAATCCAATAAAGAAAAGAGGTACATTTTATGGGAAGAAAGTCCCAAATCTACAAGAACCTGAATATTCTCTGACATTATTACCATACATTTTTGAGAGAATCTCTGAAAATAGTTTATTTTGTCAAGGAACCACATTGCTTAACTATGCAAGGCTGCATCATCACACCACAGATCCACCACAGAAAGGTCAAATCTACACATTGAAAAAACACAATTACAGAAAGTTGTCACATACTTCATTCAATGTTATGTTATCTGTGAGAAATAGTTTCCCCGTGCTTTTCTTCCTCCTGAGTGACTGAGGTATCCACATGAATGCTGGTCTAATGATGTATAGAGCTGAAGTTAAAACCATCACATCAATCCAAACTGCTGTGGG